CCAAGACGAGAGTGTTGCGTGTGTGCGAATGTTTGCTGATAGTAAAGATTAGCATGTAGAGCTGTAAAAGTAACGAGAAAAAGCAAAACAACATTACTATCGTATCGTTACGTTACTCGATAATTTTAATACCTCAGTATAACTCAACGAATCGAATTAACTCGTCGAGTACCGGTTTTGTAGACACAATTATAGAACAATAGGTTGCGGTTACCGGTGACCGCTCGGTGTTTGACAGTTTAAGTCGTATATCGTATAGTACCTACGCGTGGAGAACATAAAAATGAACCGATATTAATTATATATTATTATATCTGTATAAATTCGAAAATAAATCAGTTTGTATATATGTTTGTTACTCAGTCCCATCAAAACGGCCGGCAAGGGACCTGGACGAAAATTGGAACAGAGGTAGAATATGGTTTGAAGTCATACCCCTCGTACCCCTCAGAATGCGGGCTAAGCCGCTGGCAGAAGCTAGTTCTATAATACAGTGAAACTTGGTTAAGTGGGACCTGGATAAGTGAGAAACCTCCATAACTGGAACTCATGCTGAGCTCCCAACATTTTGGCACTGAATTATCTCTGTTAGTGGGACGAGGTAAACCTCTATATCTGGGATTTGTTCTTTCGATTTATCATCATAGTTACCTCTATAATTGAGACAGCGAGTAAATTTCATATGCATAAACCTCTGTAACTGAGATAACATTGTTTGTTTACTGACTCTTATTCTACCCACAAATTCTACACGTAATTCCAAGTCCACCTCTATTAATGGAACCCTCTGTAAATGAGACAGATATTTATTTATACCTGTATATCTGAGACACTGGGTAAGTGGAATACCTCTATAAGTGAAACGACATTGCAGGTCCCTTGATGTCTCACTTAACCAGGTTTCACTGTATTATTACACGTACCGTTATCGTTTCGTTACTCGGTACTCGAGAGCGCACCCGTTACTTGCGTACATACGGTTTGTTACAGGTCTAGTAGCATATAGCATGAAGGTTGATTGAAAGTGTAAACTTAGTAGCAGGGGCTTAGGATTTTTTAACCCATTAATGCTAATCATAATAAAAAGGGTATAATATTTACTCTAGCGAAATGAAGAGCATATGTGTTTACATAATAAAATTCGCAGGCGACCATTCGATATAGGTCGCTTATTCCAGCCAGCCGATCTGAAAGTCACGCAAGTCTTATGTCTGATTTTATTCTAATGATGAAAAATTGTGTTGGACTGCCTCTTAGTTGTTTAGACTGACCGAATAGTCGCAAGTGCGACTGCCGGGCAAGGGGTCTCGGGTTCGATTCCCGGGTCGGGCAAAGTACGACTGGGTTTTAAAAAATTCTCATTAGTAGCACGGAGTCTGGAATTGTGCCCGGTATATGGCAATAGGCTCACCCCCTATTACATGGGACTCATAACATCAATAGTAAAAAGAGGGTGTTACATCGTACAGTGGCATAATGTGCACCTCTGCCTACTCCTTCGAGGATGAAAGGCGTGATATTATGTTATATTATATGAAAAATTGTAACGAGAAAGCCAGAAGTCTTAATTATTTCAAGGGGCTAAGTACTTACTTTAATTCTTGTCTGCAAATGACACCAATGCTGTGTAGGTAGTATAGTATAATGTTTTATATAAAATCTTAATGTACCATATACTAAGAAATAAATTATTCCATCCTATTCTATAATATTTAGGTAAATACATAAGTATCTTTAAAACCTTATCAAGACGTAGTTTGAGTTCGAAGAAAGGAAAACTTTTTTAAATAATGAAGGCACTTTATTTTCGTCCATAAACAAACAAGGTGTTAAGTAAAAGTACAGTAATCGCGGTGGCACGAGTTATGCGATTAATGACCAAGATACGTCGTATACTTGTCGTGGACGGCTCTATGCAGAATGTGACTAAAATAGTATTGTTACTACGTCGCGTGGAGGTTACAAGTGTCATGTTATGTAAGCTTCTATGTACTTGTGAATGGAAAACTAGAATGTTTTCTTTTTTAGATTTTTTTTATTTATTAGGAACTTTTGAACGCAGTTCACGCCAGTTCCATATTAAATTAAACCTATTTAACAAATGCCAAAAAACAAAATAAATTAAGGACTAAAACTAATAATACAAATAAAAATATTAGTGAAACAAACAAAAATAATCTCTATAATTTTTTTTTTTTTTTTTTAAGGGTGGAAAATCATCGAATGCCTGCTCCTGCCTGGGTGAGGCGGGAGGGAGTGTCAGACTCTTACTGACTAAAAACCACCCCGTTCCTTCTCCTGCACGTCGAGCCGGAGCCCCTGTTACCCGTTAGGTTCTCCGCGACTCCGAATCAATTCTCTATAAATAAGAAGCATCAAACATCGCAGTTTCATCAGACTAGTGGGGGGGTAATTGGGCCTCCGGTAACCTCATTCACACGACGAAACACAACGCAAACGTTGCTTCACGTCGGTTTTCTGTGAGGCCGTGGTAGCACTCCGGTCGAGCCGGCCCATTCGTGTTGAAGCATGGATCTGCCACACTTAAAAAAAGGTTCTCCTTGAGTGCTTTGATTATAATTAATTTTAACTCATCTAAGTCTTTAAGGTTATTTATAAGGACTTCATTCATTCATGTGTCGTAACAGGGTCCTTAGACAAAGTAACATCGCTTAATAGCGAAACGAAAAGTAAATTCGCCATCGTCTCTGAGATAACGATTTGCAGCAGGTCTCTTTTAGAGGACCCGGTGCCTCCATACAGGTGTTGAGGGTGGCCACCGGGGTTGTTTTAATAGGGTTAACATTCTACACTCTCTAGTCTTTTATCCCTAAAAAGACTTGGCGCCTTTTGAAGGTTTCCTCCCGTCATAAAAAAAAGGTATTATTCATGACTGAAAGAATTCTGGATTACAAATAAAGTTCATAAAAACTCAAAGAAACTTGGATACCATTTACCATTGATACATGTTGCTTGATTTGTACACCTGTAATTTAGGCAAACCAGAAGGTTTCCTTTATACCACGAAATGTGTGGCGTAGCGTGCCTCTGGACATGGTGATAATTTTACTTGAAAAACAATTATTTAAATTGACCATATCACTTTACTGTCTAAGCTAAAGCGATACTAGTTTTAGTTTTATATTGATTTAATCATAACCCTTATTACAATGTACGAAAATGTATATTGGCGTGTTAAAGTTTTACTAGTCTATAAATCTGTACTATGAAAAGAAAACCCCGAATAAAATATTGCTGCACAATCCATTGCGCGTTTTCTTGTACAACTTCACTATATCTTTTGAAGTAAAACAGCAATGTATAGGTGACATTGTGAAGAAATTGTTATGTAAAGTTGTCAGTGGTTGTATCGAGTGGATGTTTGTGTACGGTTGCCATGGCAACGGTATCGTACAATCTCGCTAACGGAGGTGGAAACTACGCTGATTCGGTCATTGGGTCGTTGATCTATCGCAAAATTTATTATTTTTTCGGGTTATTTCTTTATGTAGTAGCTTGCGAGTAAATAGGCGACTGCCTGTATAATTTTGTAATATTTCTTTGATCTCAAACATTTATTTTATGTACCAGAAACTATTTTTGGCGCCATTAAAGCTGTTAACTTAGTTTATGTGGTAGTAAGCCTACATTCCAAGGGATTTATTATTTCTGGTTATTAAGACTGAAATCAGGTCTAGGTATCCAAATCTACATATTAGGTATTTAGGGCGTTTACTTAAGTACCTACTTAACGTAGATATACTGTACTGTACTTAGATACTTTGTAGAACTGTAGTCTTTTGATTTTTTTATATATACTAATTTTCGAACCTGACACGTACCCACGTACACAAGTAATTATAGTGTTGTAGTTTTATTAATTTAGCAATTATTTTTAAGTTTCAGTAGGCAGTACTTAAAGTTCTACGTTAGCAATTAGCATAAGTTCTTGTTTATATTTTTATTATTAAGAATTCACGTTTGCTTTTCTCAATGGGGGTACACCAATTAAATCAATCAGCAGACAATCTTCTGAAACTCATCTTCTTTTCAGATGTTTTCAGTTAAGTAGCGCCATCTGTATCTTGAAGCCTCAACTACTAACACTATTAATTGTTTTTCAATGCGTGGTTATTTTACAAGCCCTATTGCGTATTTTGTAACTATAACTATACAATTCACATGTATTTAGGAACGTAGAGAATGTAGAGATACCAAAGTAGAACAGTTTTTGTATTTACTTCAGCTACTGACTACGAGATGGCGCTGTTATCAATAACAAATTATGAAGATTCGATTCTAATGGAAAATATTTGTTTTTAAATTGGATTCAAGAATTAGAGGTATAATCATAACCATTTCTAATTGTCGTACTAGGTGGTGATTCGTGAATCTTGTCTTTATAACATGGGACATGAATTCTTTATGAAGGAGGTTTCCCTTGTAGGTTGGGGCTTATTTTCGATCTATCGCTTTCTTGTACTTAATAGGTCAGCGTTACTATAAAAGAGAATGAATATACATACTTAGGATTTTTATTATAATTTTTCACTTCGAGCGTGGTTCAAGTGTACTGAGCAATATATTTTTGACATCAGAAAATGCTAAACATCATAACTTCACGCCTTTTATCCCCGAAGGGGTAGGCAGAGGTGCACAGCGGCACTTAATGCCACTGTACAATGTAACAGCCACTTTTCACTATTTATGTTATGAGTCCCATGTAATAGGGGGTGAGCCTATTGCCATATACCGGGCATATTTCCAGACTCCGTGCTACTACTGAGATTTTTTAAGAACCCAGTAATACTTTGCCCGACCCGGGAATCGAACCCGAGACTTCTTGCCCAATAGTCGCACTTGCGACCACTCGGCCAATGATAGTCTATATGACAGGACAATGTTAAACGTAGGTGTCTTTTCTCGCTAGGACAAAACTAGGAATGACTCCATATTTAAAATTTGTTAAAATAAAACCATGATGTTCTGATGATTCTTTATTTTCTTATAGTTATAAGTAATTATTAATACTTAAGATACAATAAGAAGTTATTTTGTTCCTACAGATAAGTTCTCCGCTTGCCTAAAACAATTCACAGTACCTCGGTGTTGCTACTACTAAATTTAAAATTAAGTAGTATTTACAGATCAAAATATTAAAACATTTTTTTTAGAACTTACTAAAAAAAGTTAAGATGTTTATTTTTTTTTAATTTATAACTTATTTTTTTATTTGAAGAAATTGTGTTTTGAGGTATGATAGTAATACTAAGCGCGTAACTAGTAGACTAGTTTTTCAAAAATCTAAAAACATAAGTTACTACAGCTATGCGTGACTCAACATTTAGTTTTAAACGTTGGACAAAGATTTACAAATTGATATGACTTTAATGTTCAATCTAAAACTTATCTGATTTTCATTTTATTTTATAGATACACGTCGCCGGTTGCAACAGAAACAAAAAAAAAAAATTAAAAATAAGTGGCAGTGTTTTTATTGTTTGTTTTCATTTTTCAAGATATTTTCAAGAGGATCAATACGACTGTTTAGAAAGAACAAGCAAATACGTTCTCAAAGAAATCTAATTTACAAAATGTGATTAAGATAGGGTTGTATTAACCCGGCGACACTACATTTAATCAACGAGTTCCATCATAACTGCTTAAAAATATCATACAAAAAACTTACACAAAATGTGATTTAACTTCATAAATGCGAGGACTACAATAACTGGCAGTTTAGTAAAAAAAGTATAAATTTATTAGGTTTTTAACTAAAATAACAAACAAATTGGAACGTAAACTTACATGGCTAAATAAACACGAAATGCCAATTACGATGTACGACACTTTCTTGTTAATGTTTTTATTTTATTTTTAATAAATACACTTATACTGTGAGAAAGTTAATGATTATTATTTGCAATATTTCAACTTTGATACTGGTGTGCCTACATCGACGATATTAAATTTTATATCCATTAATATTATCAACATTCTCGAAACTATAGATAAGATTAAACATTTTAGTAATCTACATTTATATTTTCTCATAAAACTTACTGACTAGTACATTATAAATACAAAAATAAAACAAGATTACCACGACGCACTTAATTTAAAAGCACAGCATTAGACATTATAATAATAATAATCAAAACGTGTGGAATACAAAACAAACGAAATAATATTAAAATAAAACTAGATGTAGTAACATCTTAGAAGAATATATGAAACAGTATCTACCAACATGTTCTACACTCGTTCGCAACTTAACATGTTAGTAGCTGGGTCGTGAAGAGTCACAAAATACATTGTACAAAAGAGAGTTGGTCATGATAAGGTAATTCAATTTGAATTAAATGTAAGTAGGTAAACAATAATACTCATTCATGATTCTATGTAAATGAGTACATAACAGCAAAATGAAGTACTAAAGACTACAAAGTTAACAGGTGCAATAATGTGGTAACTACAACTAGACTGACAAGACTCACACTGGATTGCAGTTATTTAAAGTATGGATAAGTAAGCTTAACTTTTATGATTCGAGTAGACAAAGAGTCGTAAGTTCTGGCTACTCTACGAAGAAGAGAAGAAGAACAATGGAATGGCACTTCACGACGTTGGCTTAAACCACACGTCCAACGACGAGACGATTGGTCGACAGGTAAGGAAACTACGCTATGAGTTTCTACCACGTCGACGACACCTCGTCCAACATTGATTCCTTAACAATAGGCGACGCATTCTCACTCAATTGATACTAAAACAAATGAGGCACACGCTAGTGATAGGAATCAGAACTATCGTAAAGTGTCAACAATAAATATTAATAAAAGCAAAGTCATAAGAAGATCGGAAAATCGCGAGGAACTTAAATTAATATCGATGAATAAACTTAATCGATTTTTGAATAATCGATGGGTCAAGTTAGTCAAAGTCGAATCGATTAGCCGGTGTTGCGGTTCGATTTGGGTGGGCCAGCGGGGTGGTGCGGGAACTCCATGTTGAACTCTTCGACGATGGTCTTGGGATGCAGAGCGCTGATGTTGTTGTCGACAGTGTAGGTCCTGGCGTGGGTCTGCGCGAGAGCTTGCCTGGGCTCGTTCACCAGCCAGTCGTCGTCACGTAGTCGCTTGCGTCGAGCAACTTGTTTGTCTCGCAGATGTCGCAGCCGCGCGAGGTGAGCGTTCACCTGCTGCGGAGTAAGCCCGGTGCGGCCGGAGCGGAGCAGCTCAGCGTTACGTTGGTATGAGCCTTCAGGGTCGCGGCGATTCCATGTGTAACTGTAATTGAAACATTATATTACGCTTAGGTACATTTTAGCAAATTAATTAATATCGTTGATTCATTTTAGAGACATTTTCCAATAGTGGAAATTTTCCAATAGATTTTCCAAGTTTTCCATAGTGGCATTCTGTAACCACAGTATAAATTCTAGCCTATCCACCAACAGGAAATTGGAAAGTAGGTTTACTCTCATGGTTCATGTCTAGCATTAATAAAACGACTAACTGGCGAGGCTAGTCTAGTTGTTGAAAAACGATTAGCAAAGCATCTGTAAAATGTTCTCCTAGTGCCAAGCTCTCAACGATCGACATAGTTGGCAGTGCACGCAGACAAGAGGAAAGCTGTTTACCATCTCACACTCACCAATATTGGTGCAAGAACAGCCAATATTTCGTCCAACGCAAACATTGCTCGATAAGGGAGAAGCGATTGCAGTTAATTTGATCTATGTTTGCAATATATGTACATTTAATGTGTTTTTGTTCGAAAGTATATGCTCCGAGAAATTGATGGCCGTTGGTCTGGTAATGGAGAAAGTTGGCCAAACATTAAGTTTCATTAATGGGCCGTGCGTTTTACGACATAACTTTTTCATTTTTTGCTACACGTGCGATAAACTTTTTTCAATGCTTTCATGATGTTGTTGTGTATAAAATGTAAAGTTTTATTTTATGCATGATTCATTAAAGACACGTAATATTACACTTACCCTGGGAACGGTCTCTTGAGCCTTCGGTGGACGATGGGCCTCGATCGCTTCTTCAGCTCATTCGGTCTCAAATCATACTTGGAGGTAGGACTGTTCGTCCTCGTGCCGTGTCGCTTTTGTCCTCTAGGATAAGGGTTGGGGCGCAGATCGTACGATTTCGGATGGTGTACAGGGTTCACAGTGACGTCATTTATCATCATGGGATCATTGACCTCCCTACTGACGCTTGGTGCAGTGATTTCGTTGATCTGTCCCATTCGTTGCCAGCGACGACGCAGGTCCTTCACTTTGGCCTTTGGCACCTTTTGCAGTTTAGTTTGGCAGATGTAGTGACGAGCTTCGACGCAGTTGCGAGGTGACCACCTGAAGCAATTAGCGTCGAGATGATTAATCGTTTCAATTAGTGAGCAATGTTTGGAAGTTGTAGGGCCGTGCATTGTGTATTTTCTGAGAATTTGGACACAGTAATACAATTCGATTACATACCAAAACAACATGATTTAGTATAAACTTTTAAGATTCAGAGAAACTTGAATATGAATACCAAAAAAGATTAATACTATTTAAGCAAATGGCATCTGGTATTATAACAAATAATTATTGGAATGATTAAAGCAGTATCGTAGTCACTAAGCAATGTGGGCCATTACAATGATCGTTATGTGCCCTACATATTGTAATATAAATACTATCATTGTTCCCATGTGAAACCAATGATTACTCGGTACTCCATAAGGCGCCAACGGCTTGTCCTTCAAACTTTAAACCATAAAATTGACTGCTAAAAATAGGTGATTAGGTGTCTGATGACGTCATAAGACCCACAAACCACGTTGTCGTACAATTTATTGTATTTCTCAGAGTTGTCGACCTGTCGTATGGTGCAAGGCATAAGAGAGCATCAGAAGAAAAAAAGTTAGTCTTTATTGATTTAATGAGGTATAAGTACCATTTATTGAAGCAATTTAGGCTTCTATATCATTGTATATTGGTGGGGACAGATTGACAATCAATTTCGCGCGTTTAAAAAATGAGGTCCATGACCTGTGGCGCCTTTTATTAGTCGATTCAGTTCTAGTTAGTGTTTATTACTTTTATTAAACGGACGACGTCATAAATGGGATCCTATTGGCTGTAATATAGACTATTTAGGATAGTCGTTGAGATGCTTTAAGATCTGGTATCAAATGCATCAAGGATCTCAGCCAACTGACTGCATATGGCAACGGCTCCATGTAACTTTGAGCCAAATCTGGTTAAGACTCAGTACCATTTTGTTTAAAATCGCTTATTGAATGTGACTTGAAGTTCAAAATACTTCTGATTTAAACTCAAACGAAGAACGTGACGTTTAAACGAAATCCTGTCCGAAGTTTGGGAACAGTTTCACATTTGTCATTTCTCAAAATCGTTTCGCCTAAACTATTGGTTTAATGTTTTTCACCAATTATTTTCCAAGCCTGCAGTTTTTATAAACATACATAAGTTCGTCTCAAATTTCTCTATTTCTAAAAGGTCGGCAACGCACGTGTAGCTTCTCTGATGTTGCGGGTCGAACTATGAGAATCATATACTATGTGAATCTATAAGCGACGTCGATTGCTTACCATCAGATGCATCATATCCCATAAAAGATTTAGGTACCTGTAAAGCAAGTCCGGCATCATAGCGATGCAATGCCACTTCAGTTCCTCCGGGGTCATCTTCTTCATCTTGGAGAAGGATTGGTAATGCATCTTGCGGAGATCTCCTCCCCACCGCCAGGACCTGGCTCCATAGTCGTAGATACCACCGATCCACCTACTTTCTTTCACTGTGGATAGAAATTGTGAAACTTAAATTCGCATCTAGCGTGAACCTAAGCATTTATTTGTGTGATCCACAAAGCAGACACCAAGACGCAACAATTCTAGAGAAAAGTTAATATAAAATAAAAACAAAAAATTAAAAAGTATTCCCAAAGTATATCTTTCAATCTTTAATGGTGTATCAGTCTGGGGTTCTAAAACAATGATCATAAAATCATAAACGATGCAAATAAAAGTCATATATTGAGCCTACTACTACCAGGTGTCTACTGTCTATTGTTCTACGTAGGTAATTCAAACGTTTAACACGAAAACTTTCATAAACTGCTATATAAATATTCTTTAAGGGAACATTAAGAGCTCTTTTATCACCAAACTTTATCACTAACCATTTATCGTGTTAATAAAAATAGTGATTTGCAATATTACCATATTATTAATGGTAATTTACTTTTTCTACAATCTTGTATGTTCGTCATTGATAATACTCACCGACATCAGGTTTATTGAGGTACTTGCGAAGATTCCTGTCTTCCCAACGCGCTGGCACCGTCAAGTTACTGCCTCGGTCCTGAAACAAAACACAACTATGCTATGAAAGTGTTCAATCAAATCAATATGAAACATAAAGCTAACTGATTAAAGTTCATTTCTCTATTTCAAAATTTACCATCGTCCACCCGCATTCTACAATGTAATGTCTCAATTTATTATGTTTGTGTTTTCATACACATACAGCTCACCTGATGGTAAGCGGTTACCGTGGCAACCTTGCCGATCTTAACAAACCTATTCACTCCCCTCTTGAAGAACCCCACGTTGTAGCCCACTGGGAAAACCACGGCAGGGAGTTCATTCCACAATCGGAGGGTCCATGGGAAAAAAATCCTCTGAAACCGATTTGTTTCATCTTCATCCTCCATTGACATGACCCGTATGTTCAGATTCTTAATCCATTATACATAACGTTTCTTTCCCATCTTTACCCTATTTACTACCAAGTTATTCTATTTTATGTTTTTATTCGCCTTCAGTAGCAAAGGCTTACTTAAGAAAACCTTTCGCAAGGAGTCAAAACAATTTTATGGCACTACAATGCCCAACTGTGACGTCACCTAATGACAAAATTTCGTCATTTATATGCTTATTACCTGTAATTCTGATTGTTATTCAAGCAAAGTGGTCTACAAGTCCTGTTTCAAGCATATCAAGTATAAGTCTAGGAATTACTTTTATGATCTATATAGTACCACATACCGTTGGGTTTTCCAAAATTTATTGTCAATTTATATTTGTATTCATTATGAGGGCTACGCGAAATTGCTTGTAAGACTGTGGGCAAGAATTAATTGAATTAGGGACACTTCTTTGAAATAATAATGAGATGTGATTGGCTGGCCCTAACTGGTGTTGCGATGTGTGAATCACTTAGTGTTTTAGTATTATAAACGTTGTCTATGCTATGGTTTGATACAATTTGTGGTGGTTCGTAATGTTGATAGTTTTGTACTTAGTTTAAAGAAGAAGGTATTGTAGGAATTAGTTTCATCTACCTTTCAGTGGATTACACAGGATTTTCCCACGAAATTAACATTCATAGTTACATTATGATTTGCATATTTACCATTATAGTCAACGCGCAATAATTTTAATGTATAATTTAATTCACGACACGTGTTAGTTTAATGATCACGCTGTTGTTAATATACGAACAGATTTTATTTCTCTAGAAGTGTTTGCGGATTTTTCAGAAATCGTTTCAAGTGCCTTGAGCCGTCGAGCCTGTTTGATCAAACGTGACTGATGGATTCTGACCTAAATCTCAACGATTTTGGTAGCGAGTGTGTGATCTTAAAATAATGATGTTATTGTTGCAATATTTTCAAACGCCACTGCTTATTGTTGTTCAAATAATTCTTGAGTATTTGCCAAGTGTTGGTTTGTACGTGAAATGGAGCAATTAACAGTAAACATAAAATGGTTACTAGTGGCTAATGCAATTATTTGGGGAAATTGGGACGAATTGCCTTGAGGCTATCGGCTGCAAGCATGAGTGGTCCTTGGCTCATTAGGTTACTATTTTTTTTTAATTTAGAATAAATTGACGCGTTGTCAGAGTGGTTTACCAATGATCCTCATAAAACTGTTTAATTATGGCTTGCTTTAAAAGTCAGATCATAAACAACATTAGGAGTTTTATTTGTTTATTTTACATGGAATGTAACTAACGATTATTTTAAAACAATTCCTGGTGTTGCCAATTAAACAATGATTTATGCCATTGTTACGAAAATATCGATGCGCATACATTCACGATCGTATCAACCGACCACTGACAATAATAAATATCTCTTTAATATCTACTTCAAAGAAACGATTGTCATTTGTCGTAAAGGGTTCTCGGAAGGCGAATTTTTGTCACAGTACATTCTCTGGTACATTTGTCAAATCTAATACAGGCGTTTGATCATGTGAAATTCCTACAATAATAGGTATGATGCGACCTATCCTTAGGGTTGTCAATCTTCATATTGTAAGTCGGTCATTAGCCGATTTTCGGAACCCAATAACCACATGTATGTTGATGAAGTCATCAGGCTAAAGAAGTGTTTATTGTCAATTGTTCCAGTTTGTGAATAATGTTCATAGTTTCTAAGGCGCCGCGCTTTGAAGTCTCCATTTACAACGAAAGAGGTACCTAATGAGGAGCAATCTTTTGGCTGATGAATAGTAAAGCTGTGTAAGCAGCGAATAGAGCCAGCAAAGACATTTTTAAAGCATTTAAAAGTATAATTACGTATGTATCATCTAAATTACGTACAAATAATGATTAGTCGCAACTGTATATTTACGAAGCTTCATCGTTAAATTAACCACTTAATTTCCATAATAATCTTATTATTTCATGACTATAAAGTGAGAACTAGTCATGATAAACACGATTACGTAAGGTAATGTAATAATTGATAATCTAATGGTTGTAATTCGAGTTATTTCTCGTCCCTAGTCCTATTTATTGGCAACATTCCGCGCTAATTCAACACGTTTGCGCGGGAAACTGCCAAGGTTTATAGTAAAGAGGTTGTTATTTATGATTAACGCCTTCAAGCTTTTTATTAACGGTAGGGCTTCATAATTTTCTTCTCTATGGTGATGTATTTTTTTATTTATCTTCAGGGAGTAACTCTTTGTACAAATAATAGGTAAATTAACGAAAGTTTATAAGCTTTGCTTTTAACAAAATACATTTTTGTAAAGTCATAATAAATTTTAGGGAAGCAACTTTTCCTTTGAAGGATTTCCCAATAGGTAAATATTTAATCCATTTTATTCTAATTTTATCATGTTTAAATCCGAGAATTACAACCATATTAAATTGATAAAGCGTTTAATATTTGACCGCATTTACTATCCTCGTCTATCAGATGTTTTGTATAATGGGGATGTTAAACAAATCAGTTCAATGACCTCGCGAAGTTTAATAGGTGCTAATAGAAATTCCTATCGTCTTTTGCCAATAACGATTTATGGGTTATTGAAAAATGATTTAAAATTACTTCGGTGTAGGCTGGTAGCCATTATGGTAAAAATTTTTGCCGTAACGAGTATGACTATTATGAAGTATTATGTCATATATGGTAAGACAGACTTCCAATGGAATACTAAAGTGGGGACAAATCCCCTGATAATGTCGCGTCGATCGATCAACTATATGACTACGGTTGGCAGTGAACGGATCGAGCTTTCTACGTATTTTTAGTTTACACAAATAATTCATTACATAATGCATTGTTAGGAACTTCCTAACACTATAATTATACCGTTTATGTCTACAATGAATCACAGAATAGGACGCATTAATTATTTCTTTGGTCCGATAAACATGTCGAAATAAAACATGGCGGTATCGGTAACAAAATAAAGAATATTATTTTGCAATGAGTGTGATTAAGTATTTAAAACAAAACGATTATGTTATGAGTAAATGTTTGTTTGAAAATACTCGTTTATTTAATAACAGAGAATTAATTATCGCTTCATAATATTCGTAACCTTGTTTGGATTTATCATCGACAATATGGATGCCATCAATATGGCGCAGCGCGGGAAATATTTTTATGTTGTCTATGCTCAGTGACACTGACAGAGACCATGTCGAGTTTAAAATTTTCTTAAAAAACGAATCTGAAATTATGTTGCTTTATTTATTGGAGATAGTGAATATTATTTTTGAATGAATATATTTAACACATCGTCTTTTCTTTTTAATATGAAATTATGTCTTAATTTATAGCAAATTAAGTGATAGCAAAATCATGTTAAATATATTAGGTATTTTGAAAATTAAACAATATGATTAAGATTTTGTGGTTTATTTTTGTGTCTACAAAATTACAACAGATACAAAAAAAACTTTAATAGTTTAAAATGTTGTGACAAATACCGAGATGACAAGTTAGAATGCAAACTAGACAGTTTGATGACAGTTAATATCACCACAAACTCAAATAAAAAAAGAAGTTTAAATCACAAATCTACAGAAACTAGTCTTAATCATGGTTGGAACGCATCCAAAAAGGTCAAGGATTAGCCCGCTACTCTAATTCTTTCCTTTGTATTCTAAAGCGCATTTAAAATAAGAATACCATATGGTTAGCTCTAAATTATTAGTTTTTCTTTTATTGGCCACTCGAGCTTGTTGCTAAGCGATGCAGCGTGCTGCCTCGTTTACATTTCCAGTTTTTAGGAGAGTGAGTAACTACTTGATTAGATAGTGAAAAAACTGCATAATTAACTAAAGGTATGCCAATTTTTTTAAGTAAATATTATAGAGAGTATTATTCACGTGCTCTGTTGGAAAGTTGTTTAGGTGGTTGTAGCTGACCGACAGGTTTAGATTAGAATTAATATTCTAACTATTTGAGATCAATTGTACGTAATATTATTAGGCTAAGTACCTGTGAAGATTAAATTAGCTGTTTTCTGATATAAATAAATAAATAATTTAGATATATTTTTGAATTTTGCGTTTTTGTTATTATGAATAAAGTATTATTTATTTATTATTAAACTGTCAAACACCAAGCGGTCACCGGTGACCGCAACCTATTGTTCTATAATTGTGTCTACAAAACCGGTACTCGACGAGTTAATAGTTTCTATGTTCAGAACTCCCAACAATTTAGATTGGTAAGGACTGTTAAATCTTTCAATGCGAACAATATTTAACACAACAAAGTCACTCATGCGAATAAAGCAAGTAAAAAGCACTTTACTAAACATTTTCTAAGTCCTCAGAGTGACGTCTAAACACACCTTAAATCTCGTAAGCAATTTAACCGTCTCCGGCCGCTTGCGGTGCGTCCAACCTTGGCTTTGAAGATATTTGTGTTACAAAAACAATGTAAGTGAGTTAACATGTTTGCAGGTTACTGGTATGTTTTATTACGCATTTCCTAAAAATATGGATCATGTTTCGAATACTGGAGTAACCAATTACGTAACTGTAGCTGTAGAGTTTTGGGATGTTTAGTAAATATGGTTTAAGGTAGGTAATGGTATGTTTCCTTG